GGGCTCTAATATATATATATATATATATATACACACATAAAATAAATCTAAATCTAAATAAATAAATAAATAAATAAATAAATAAATATATATATATATATATATATATATATACATTTTAGCTTTACCTATTTTAGTATAAAGTCAAACTAAATGAAAATGAGAAATGCTGCATTTTTCATTTTTGTTTTAGTTAACTATATTAACCCTGTACAGCGAGATGTTTAACCAATGTGTCCATGAAGGAAGAGCTTATAATAGATGTTTAAATGTCTTTTTGCAGCTGTAGTGCTCTCAGACACAAACACATTTAAGTGTTCTTAACTAGCACTACTGACTAGATCTAAACTGCAGCTCTGTTGAGATCTGATTGATGCTCTTACCAGCTGAATTATATTGGTGACGCTTTGCCAGTTGGCCAGTTTAATGTTGTCTCCTCCGTCTACCAGCCCCTGATAACCCTGAAATCAAATCAAATACACACATTAATACTCATAAATATATCATGTAAACATGTTTAAAGGGATAGTTCACCCAAAAATGAAAATCATGTCATCATTTACTCACCCTCAAGTTGTTTCACCTCTGTATAAGTTTGTTTCCTCTGATGAACACAAAAAGAAGATATTTTGAAAAAAAAAAAAAAAAAAAAAGTTGATGGCCCCCATTGACTTCCCTAGTATTTTTTTCCGTACTGTGGAAGTCAATGGGGACCATCAACTGTTTGGCTACCCACATTCTTCAAAATATCTTCTTTTGTGTTCAACAGAAAAAAGAAACTCTTTTGGAATAACCTGAGAGTGAGATGCCAGAGTTCTCTTTTGGGTGAACTATCCCTTTAATGTTATGCCACATCATTATTATCCATACATTAGCAAAGATCAGTGTAAAATATGAATGGTGAGAGCACCTCATAAACCAGATACACCTTGGCGCCCACATAGATGCCCATTCGGGTCACAGCGCGGATCGCTGCATTCATACCTGCAGAATTATATAGCATTTTATTAAACACACACAACGCTTAGTATTCAGATGTTTATATAGATGATCACTTCCCACATTAATTCATATTATTACACGGCTCTGTGGAATACTTGATTCTGATTGGTCAGCCGCGACATTCCAGTCAAACCACTTATTACACAACATTTCACCACAAAAATAATTAAGGCAATAAAAGAATTAAGACGAAAATGTTTTAAAACCTTACCAGTTTGTTAGTTCTCTTATAATCCATTACAGCATACAAAACAATCGTAGCAAAATGGCAGCAGCTGCGTTTGTATGAAACGAGAGTGAGTCCGCGATACCAGGATGACATAATTAAATAATTGTACACCATTTTGAATCGAGTTTTAATATTTTATTAGCTAAACAAACGCAAAGCTCCACCGAGAAAAAATTGTTCAAGCAAGAGTACAGCGCCGACTGCTGTTACCCGGATGAGCCTGTGTTATTAGCTTTTACCGGTTGTTATCGAGGGATAGCATACCTCGGAATGTCGCGACTGACCAATCAGAATCAAGTATTCCACAGAGCCGTGTAATAAATTTAGATAACCTTTATATGATACTCACTTAATCTTTATTTTATAGTTTTATTTAATTAATAAATGTACTTCATTGATACATTTTAGCATTTAAGCTGATCGATTTTAGTTTTTAATGTTTTATTTTTAAATTAGACAACCCATACAGCAAAACATATATTTTCAGATATTTTTTAAATATGTTTCAAACTATGCAAAACATATAGTGCTAATATACTGCTAATATATATTTTAAAACATATTTGCATACATATATTTAAGATAAGTTTTATTTGTTTCCTCATATATTTTGTTATATAATTAAATATACATTTTTAATATAATAATATATTTTTTAACTTCATATATATATATGTATATATATATATATATGTGTGTGTGTGTGTGTGTGTGAATGCCAATTTCCCATTGTAGTATATTTTATAATATATTTTAGCATTTAAAGGTGTTTTCAATTTGAAAAAGCTGCACTGTTTACAGCATATATTAAGCATATATTTAAAAATGTAATATATATTTTCAAAGAATTGTAATATCATCATTGTATTGAATGTTTAATTAATTAATTATTATATCCATATTTTATTATTGGTGCATTCCTCACTCTGTGATCCAGTTTTAACAACAACAAAAAAAAAGGTTCTGATTTTATTTATTCATTTATTTTTGGCAAATCTTAGGCAACTAAACTATTCTATTTTATGTATATATTTCCAATAAACTCATAATTTACTGCAGTTTTCATGGTGAACATCATTTCTTAGTTCCTCCAGGTGAAGAACTCAGAATATCGAGAGGGTCGTGAATATTCATTTCTCCGTCACATTCAAAACGGCTCATATGGAGACGTCTTCAGCATTCGGGACAAACAAACAGGATTTACGTGTGCCGCCAAAAAAGTGAATATCCATTTCTTATCCAATTAATTAATAAGCCTAAATATCTCTGCATATTCTTGCATGCAAAGTTGTTGAAAGAAAACCTGTGACTCTCTGATTATTTCCTAACTGATCCAATGCATTGCTCTCTTGTGAAGATTCCCCTTTGTAGTTTTAGGTGGGAGGAAGTGGAAACGTGGAGCAGGATGGAGTCTCCTCGTGTCCTCCAGCTGTATGGGGCCGTGAGAGAAGGACCCAATGTGATTCTCTTCATGGACCTGAAAACAGGTGATTGCTTCTACCAATGGATGCCTCGGAAAGCAATCAAGTCATATCTGAGTCAATAAATTCTCTCTTTCCAGGTTCTTTAGCTCAGCTGCTGAGAGCGAAGGGTCGTCTGTCTGAAGAACTGGCTCTGTATTATCATTCTCAGGTCCTGCAGGCTCTCCAACACCTGCACGGCAGACGCGTCGTACACCTGGATGTCAAAGGTCAGCGGC